CTTGATGACCTTTATTAAGTCTTCATGAATCACTTACACAGTGAACGGGTAACAGCCACGTGGCAAATATTCCGAGGTGCACAATGGCAGCTTCACTTTTGCCGAATATGAACTTAACCTGAGCCCAGGAAAATTTCTGATTTCAGGCCGGAGAAGTGTAAAGTTGGTAAACTACTGACTATCAACTCCCGCTACAGTGACAAAGGTCAGTTAAAGCACCAGCGCATCACAAACGTCTCCACTCGGCTCGTTCGGTGACTACAGGGAGCCTCGTTGTGCCACATCGGCGTGGCCTTGAAAATGAGTCTCTTTTCTCTCTGCAACCCCCTTTTTCAACTGAAAAGAGGCCGAACATCTGCGGTACAGAAAGTCTGTTCAGTCAAGTCTTGTTTTGAAGCTAATTAGCCCAATTGCCCCCCTCCATCGCATACAGAGTTAAACAAAGATGAGCTGCATCTATGCGCGAGCTTAACGGGCTCTTTAGTTTGATGCGTGGCAGAGCTGGAAAGCTGCAGAAGCCTCCGGTCACAGACACGCGCTGCTTCAACACGCATTCAGGACCTCCTTCTTTCACAGGATAAAAACTGCACCGAGCTGTCCTTTGAAATAGTCAGTGGATTCCCCCCCCCCCATAGCGAGATCTGAGCAGAGAAACACCGTGTTGTGCAGCAGGAGTCAGTCCGCAGGGAGGAGGTAAAATTCCCACAGACGCAGTTTCCTGATTAGCGACGCTGAAGGGCACGTTCCACATTGGGCTGAGTGATAACAGATCTCGTGAGGAGGTGTAAATGAACCAGTTAGATACCGTTGAACAGAGCTCCTTTGAACATAAGAAGAATCGTTCATCATTTCTCAACAACAGACTCTTCAGAGAGGCGGTTTGTCATCATGAATCAACCCCCATATTCGTTCAATTATTTTTCTCTAATAAACACAAATTATACAAATCACATTACCTTCGAATGGCAGGAGGAAAAACCAAGGGGGAGCGTTTGAATTTTTCAAATATTTCCATCTCCAGGCAGAGCAGCAGTAATAATTCACCAGCCTCTACAGCAAAATAGTCTGCATTCTGCAGTCGATATATTTAATATGTTCTCTGACTCAAAAGGAAAAGATACATTCAGATGTTTTTACGCGTGTGTGTTTTGGTGTAATCCTGATTCCATGATCAGAGCTGCTCGCTTCACCTTCTGCTGATATAATTGTTAAGCACATCAGCATCAGAGTATCTGGTTATTTTCACCTCACTCGGAGGTGTGTGTGTGCTGCACATGCGGCATCCAACACGTTACGTGTTGTTTGTTTTGAAGGAGATAAGACTGCAGCTCTCTCCTCATCTGGTAAAAAACTGCTGGATGCCTAAATAGTTTCCCAAGACAATGTCCATTTGAGCGTAAACGATAATCATATGCAGGATTGTGTTCACAGCTGTTTTTCCAGCACCTCCACGTGGCCAAAAGAATCCATTGACAGGTTAAAGTAAGTTCTTTATGCCGTCGACAGCACGTATGAGGCTGTGGGAGCCAGCTGAAGAATGGCGCTTCATGCTTCACTGAGTCTCTTATAACCAAACAGCTCACGTAGTGAAGAGATTATTAAAAGGATTTAACATCCCATGTCCTGGTTTCTGTGGCACCAAATGCCCTTTATACTTCCTTACACTGTAAATGGGATTCACGTTGGCTGAGCGTCCCACGTCTCCACATGCTCCATAATTGTACAGTACAAACGTCTCAGAGGAGCGTCCATAGAAATCAAACCACAGCGACCTTCTGCCAGTGATCAAAGCCTCAACCCCCCCTCCCAAAACACCCAGCCCCCCACCACCGACCCGAGAGAGAGCGTGAACCTCACCAACCATCTCATGTCCCAGCCAGAGCTACCTGCTTTACATATGAAACGCACCTTTCTCCCTTTAATTCCCATGAAATCGCGCAGGCAGCGGTTATTGCAAAAGGGGGAAGTGATGTGGAACGACCGGAGGGGCCATTACAGATAATCCCTCATCACACCCTGGTCACAGCTTAGGAGTGTTACCTCTGCGAAAACACACTCCCACCCCCGGGTGCATAAGTCAAAGAGAGGAGATTGCCTCATCTTGCTTCTTCTTTGTGCCTGGTCTCTAGACAGGTACGCCAGGTTTAGACTTCAACGTACCCGCTCGCTGTACAGCTGAAAGGCCGGTTTAGATCTCACTGAGCTGCACGCGCGTCTAACGAGTCGTCTGTTGCATCTTTATTTCCCTCCCTTTGATTGCTATGGGGATGGATCCTCACAACACATCAATCAATCGATTAATCAACCCAACTGCTCCCACAGGGCTGGATCATTTGCTGCAACGGTGTCTGAACCGCTCAAGAAAGACGACGGAGCTAGGCGAGAAAATAAGGAGACTTCCTCCGGGCGTCTTCTCGCGTAGCGGAGCAACACGAGTTGTTTGGCAGGACATCAGAGGGGGGAAAACATCCCGACGCCTCCGTCAGATACATTCGGATCCATTGAGTTTCTCCGTTCGTTAGGAGATGCAGTTATAATGAGCAGTTTGCATGAAAACATGGAACACAACAAGTAGGAAAAGACAGCTGTTCGTTTAATACTGAACGTTTTACAATTTTAGCCTCTACGGATGACAACGCAGGTCCACCGGTCGGGCCGTCGCCTCAGACCAGACGACTGCAACTCAACACGCGGCGGTTGAATTATCAGGACGTCATCTTGTGATAAAATGTCTCAACAACTACTGGGTGGAATGCCATGACACCTGACGGAGCAGCAGATATAGTGGGTGGGGGAGCTTGACTAGCATAAATAACACTTTGCCCTGAAAATGGAATTGACGATCATGACAGCTTTAAATAATGACAATAATTGTACTATACGTCGAGGTCCATTTGATCAAACCAGCATTGTGTGCAAGCATGTGCTTCAGTGATCTGAAGAAGGCAATTATGCATCGCTGGCACCGTTAAGACACAACGCTGCCACGAACTGTCACAGAAATCCTTTTAGTCAGAAGCAATCCAAAACCTAAGAACCCAGAAGAGAGGGAGGGGGGGATCTGATGGAGGCCCATGACTCAGTGGTCCTGTCTCTTCGCGGCGCTGGTTTACAGCATTAAAGAGTCTGCTCACGGAATAGTCTGCAGTATGACATTAAATTAAAACTCTGAAAAAAGAGTGTCATCATGACACCAAGGAGGATCAGACAATACATCTTCCTTTATGTTGTTTATGGCAGACCCGGAGCCAGATGCGGTAAACAAAGTGATATTTTTGGGTTACATCATCAGGACCGGAGTGAGCGCCAGTGTTGCAAACTTTAAGCCGGCACGTAGATCTCCTGCGTACAGATGATGTTAAAAACTGCTCTCTCTTCTAAACCACAGCTTGTGGCGCAGTGGACTAGTTAGTTGATTACCGTTGGTCAAAAAAAGAACAAAAATTAACAAAAAATGCACAAAATACCAAAACTGTCCAGACAATAAAACTAAAGCATTATTACAACTATCAGTCAATCAAAAGTGCACTCACCAGAGGAACTGCGCCGTAGCCTCGATGACCCGGGTGTTTCCATGGAGCTGCTCGCCAAGAGGAGCTAACTTATTGTGTCTGTCCGATGGAGCCCAACACACTCCGTGTGAGACGAGTGAAGTGCTTGTTAACACACACATACCTCTAGATTTACGCCTCTTCGCCTGGGGAAGTTCCGCAGAGCGATGAAAAATAGGGTTAAATGAAGCTTAGGCGAAAATTCAGTCAGGAAGACTGGACAGGCTGTGCCGTTCCCTGGTGGCCTCCTCTCTCCCTGGGGGCGCACGGCCAGCTGATTAGGGGCGGGGTCGAGTAGTATCAGGCGTGGGTGTCGTTACCGTAAACCAATCGCATTGGGGCAGGCAACGTTAAAAAACTGTTCTCCTCTCTTTTGCTGTCAGTTGTCATTTCAGCACGCTCCAAAGGTGACCCGCCACCACCCCTGACACCTCCAATCTACAGCAGAACCTGGCATAGCAGGAGAGTTATGCAACTTGGGCTCTACCACCACCAGTGACTGGACTCCCAAGGGGGGGATATGCCTCGTCTCGGCTCGAGATCGCGGCCCCGGGTCTGTCCTGCGGCAGGATTGAGTCCAAGCCCCAAACAACTTGCAATATCATATTATACCTGTTATAATAAAGCATTGTTCAAATTTCAACAAGTCTCTCCGGATTGAAATGAGGTCGACGTTTTGGAAAATTAAAACACAAGCCTACTTTGCATTTTATTACCACATATCAACTTCAATAGATACAAAGTTAATTTGAAGAAAGACATGTTTGAACTGAATAAAATAAAGTATTTAATGTGAATTTGAGAAATGAGTAGCTGATTTTAATCAACATCTAATTTAAATTAATTTGAGGGTGAGTTGTAAAAGCTTGGGTTGCACAAAAGGTTCAATCTGCTAAATGAATAACATTCGCATGAGCCGAAACTGCACGCGTTTAAAGCTATTTATCAAATATTAGTCACATTTGGCATCTAAGCTGATGGTAATTCTAAAGCCATAAAAACACTCTGTACTCTTTACCTGTAAACCGTCTTACCTACAAACTAGTCACACTGTTTGTAGCAGCAACCGTTTTCTTTGAATAAGAAAGTGTGTGATATACTGTCTTATAATGGTACAACTATATCAATGTATATTTTGTTTAATTTGGTGTTCTTGCCTCATGATGATCACTCAGTGGAGTTCGTAGATTATCCATCTTTTTATCAGCTTTCTCCACATTACAATTCTGTGTCATTATGAAGATTAACAATGCAGCCATGTGGATGTTAGTGCTGCTTTATGGATATTTAAGCATATCGGTGCAAATTAATATTTCATTTTACGATTTGATCATCCATATTTAATGAGACATCACTTGGGAGAGTTGCTTGTGAAATTTGTCAGTTATTAACGATTCCTTCTTGTTAATCCTTGAAATGCACCATATTGCATGAATAACAAACCAAAAAAAATCTATTAAGACTTTAATTTTCTTAATGCTTTTAAATACATTTTTGGACAATGGTTCATATATTTTGCATGAATAAGTTACATAATAAATAAAAGCACACACATTTTATTTCCCCTTTTTACAATAAGGCATTAATAGCAGCAGAAGTGAGACAACTCAGTGTTTCTACTCGTGTCCTAACGAGCCCCAAATCCAGGTCGGGACCGTCTCAAGCCCAGTTTAAAACAGTCAAACCAGTGAAACCATCTCAGGGGTCTTCCAGGAACTTCCGCACCAGTGTTAAATAAAATAAGAAACAAGTAAAAACTGAGGTTGGCCCTGAAGCATTGGAAGTCACAGGAGGTAGCATCTTACTCTCCTGCCAATCAACCTTTTTTTTTAGTTCATGCAGCAGGCAATGTTTCTTGATATCTATAATTATCATAGCCATCATTCCACATTGAACTGCATTTTTCATAGTCTCTGTAGTAAAAGCTGTACAAGAAGTGCTTCAACATAAAGCCGTGTGTTGAAGGTTTAACTGTGCACAGATATCTTCTTCCAATAATTTACCAAAGTTGTCTTGCGTAGTAAGACACCAGTTTATCATTAGAACAAGGCAACTGGCAACAACACTGAAATAATGGCGTACAAACATATGACATGATGACTTCAGACGGACCAAGCGATGTGCCCTTTACACATTCATATTGCACTCAGCACTTCACTTTTATTCTCACACAATACTTTTAAGAATGAGGAGGGAAGAAAAGCTGAGGGTTTTTTTTATCACAATAAAGTGTCCCTACAGAAGGACATCCAATTAGTTGTCAGATTATACACACTTTTCAGATATGAATGATTGGTTGAATATACAGTTACTTAAAGGGCAGAATATAACTTAATGTAGATGTGATCTAAATTACCTTTATGTGATACGGCGGGTTAACGCTAGCTAACCTCTGCTAACTGGCTAATTTTTTCCTCACTAATGTCATTATGTTAAGTGGGGTCAAGAAAGGTTCATAACTCCATGAAAGTGTATTATGCAAACAAATAATGTGCTCAGTTTTTGCAAGGCCAGTTAATCATGTAGAGTATAAAAGTAAGATCTTTGTCACCGTCAAGAAAATGTGCAGTAATCACCGCAGCAGCTTCAACAGACGAGCTCTCCTCTGCTCATGCTTCCTATTCTCCACAAATATTATTCCATGCTAACTCTACAGTGCATTTTCTCTTAATAAAATGGTCGTTTTGTATATCGGAATATACAGCAAATATTTAACAATGTCAAATGATACACGTGTGGAATTAATTTACAGGTGAACAAGTGTGGCCTCGGGCTTGGGTCATAAATTGTGCCAAATCTGGCTTCGCCAGTAGCAGCGTAAGCACCGTGCAGCGGGCCAGACACGGTTGGGGGCTAATCAGAGAACAAAATGACCACCTGTCTTTGCAAAGCGATGAGGAAAACTAACTTCTCTGATTGGAGCATTTATATGCGGACTATTTTTGGGGCGGTTGGCTGATTGCTCTCCTGGAGAACGGTGACTTGAACAAGGTAATGTGGCTGTTGTGATGATTACACCGGATAACTACGCTGAGTTGGCAATGAGCCTCCAATGAAATGTCTGGTCTCAGATGTGGACACACCGATCCACAGCTTTTTTTCTGTATCTTTCACATGCATCCTTTCACAGTTCAAACATACCACACACAGACACACAAACACGCACACTTAATTGCAAGCAAACAAAAAACTACAAGTGCATTTGGCATAAATGCTAATAAATATACATGGAAGCAGTTGGCTGTTGACACGTGCAAACAGAAGCAGCCTTGTGTGCTTAGACACACACAGTCAGACATATTGAACGCACACACACATACTTCACACAAAACACAAGCTTTCGCTCACCGACACGCACGTCCACACGCGCACTCGCACACACTGCTCGTTTGCAACTTCTGCCAGCTTTCTCCCTCTGCATGCCGACTGTGTGTCTGGCATCGGGGTGAAGGTCTGGAGCCACACGCAAGCTGTGTGCTCTCTCTGGCTTTTACACACTCTAAATAGGCTTTATGAATGGCTAGGACTCAATGACTGAGTCAACACCAGGGGCCACACTCAACCCAATCCGACAACGGGTCTTGGAGATAAGTCAGAAAACAACATTCTCCCGGCGCAACCCGGGAAAGTGTGTTTAAATGAATGTGCCGGCAGGTTTCCTTTTGTTTCGCACTGCAAACATTCTGCTGTGGAGTGTGTCAATCCTCAGATGTGTTGCTTGTTTTCCATTTCCTGCTGATCCCAAGTGCCTTTAAACCGCGTTCTGTGGCGTCTGCGTGTGTGCGTTTGTGCTCCCGTCGCCCCGGCAACGCCGCGTTTAATCTGTTCCCCCGCTCTCGACATTGCGTGGAGCCGGTGACTCTGGCGGCCTTGCAAGGGCGGACGGACGGAGGGCCGCTGTTCACAATATTGTTCCCTCAGTGGGACGCGCGTGTGCCCCATGCGTGACCTTCAAGAAACACAAACCTACTGTGCATACAAACAACGCGCGCGCACAAATCCTCACCACTTCTCTATCATCAGATCCAACACTCGACTGACATTCAGATCTGAATCCAGACTGAAGTCCGACCCAACAAACGGAGCTGCCGGCGGAGTGAGAGGGCGGAGGCCCGACGAGAGGGTTTCGAGCCAGTCGGCGGCGTCGAACGCCGTCGGAGCCCGGCGCTTGCGCGACTTCCCGCTGGACGGCAGAGGGGAAGTACAGATGGGTGGTGGTGGTGGTGGAGGAGCAGCGATGGCATGGTTGGGGTTTATCACTGCAGGAGATGGAGGGAGCTCCAGCAGGAGAGAGGAGCACAGAGGCGAGGGAAGGAAGCCGTCCTTGTGCAGCTGGGAGAGCTGGGACTGGTCGCCATGAGAAGGAGGAGGCGAGGGGCCGGGGACTGAGTGGGGTGGGGATTTATGATCGCAGACGTTCACAGAGCCTGGAAGAGAGGTAGTTAAAAGGATGAGACCCTGAAAGAAATTGCGTGTGACATTTAGATTGTGCTCTTTATTAATTATGTGACACTTACGAACACAAGTCATGGGCTCATCCAGGATGTCATCTATGGATTGCCGAGGGTCCATCTGTGGGCAGAAGAAGCACTTAAATCCAACTGTGTTAAAGGAATTCTAGTTGATCTCCTCCTGCTCATCGACAGATCCTAACCTGTGCTTTCTGGATGGCCTCCTGCAGTTCTTCCTCCAAGCTGCGAACGCAGGACAACGTCTGAACTGGACTTGCTGTAATCTGCACTGGCAGCTCAAAATCCTGGCCAATCGTATCACACGGTTGGCAGCAAAACACCTGATTAGAAAGCAAGAGAAAATCCGTGGACAGATGAGTGATGTGCACACACGGTATACACACATGTTTGACCAGTTTTCTAAATTGAAGACCATGTAGCGTGCCCTTCGAAAAGCGATCGAGATGTGTGCGGATTGATTTGTTGTGTTTACCTGTGTAAACAACACCTCGGTCTGCATGTCCGTTTCTGGTTTCCGTCTGGAGCATCCAGGATCCTGTTGCAAGAACGGATGAAGGGATCCTCCACAAGACTGGAGGAATAGTTATCATTTATTTAAACATAACGATTTTAGTACACTCATTACAGACCCAGAAAACGAGCCTGCCTTGGCTCACCTCGTTGCCGGTGCTGGCGGGGTGGTCCCTGGGCCTGCTCCGTAACCTCTCCCTCATCTCCAGCTCCACACTCAGCTCTGCTGCTGCTGCTGCTGCTGCTGCTGGTTCTCAGTCCTCCAGGGAGCCCCGCACTGCAGGGGGGAGGACGACGACATGGGCAGACTGGGACTGGGCGTTCCTGAGGCGTTGCTGGCAGGGCCCGGGAAGGCCGCGTTGGAGAGACACTGTTCGCCAGCCAAACTGACTGGCACGGCATTGGAGAAACCGTTGGTCGCGCCGCTCAGGATTCCCTTCTGGGCGTCACTGAGAACCCCAGTGGGAACTCCCCTGTCCGGGGTGTACATCTGTTGGGTCGGGCTGCTGCCGGGCGAGTCTCGCCCAGAGCTGGAGCTGGAGCCGGGGCTCTGGCCCGGTGGCGGCGCGGGGCCCGGGGTGAGCGGCTCCAGGCCGGTCCCCGGCTGGCAGAGGGGGGCGAGGCAGGAGTGGGTCAGCTGGAACGGGCGGAGGCGCTGCAACAGGGCGGGCTTCGTGCCGGAGACCGGGAGGCCACGCTTTCGCAGCTGCTGTCGCAACTCTGACACCTGGGGGAGGGGACGAGGGGGGCACACAAATGACGAGGACAGTCTGTCTCCTAGATTCATTCGTCAATAGTGGTGATCGTTCTTCGGAGGACGTTCGGGCCTTTTCATACCGTTAGATCAACGAGATTCGCGGGGAGAATCTCAAGCTTGGACGCGGGGTTTGCGTCTGGCGCGTTGTGGTTTGCGGTGGCGGGAACAGGTTGGGGATTAAGGGGCGTGGCTCCAGAGGACGGAAGATCATTATGTTCTCCACTGAATGAAAGACAGAAGCGTTCACTCAACCAAACAGTCTGAGGACTAATGTCTCTTGATAAAGAGATCTGACTAGTTTGCTCGATTTAAGTTACTTGACACCGTGTTCCAGCCATCCATTTGCTTACCTGGGAGCAGTGAGTTGTTGTTGTTGTTGTTGTTGTTGTTGTTGCTGTTGCTGTTGTAGTTGTTGTTGCTGGTTCTGGTGGATTTGCAGCTGGAGGAAGACCTGCTGCTGCTTCAGGAGATGGGAATAGGCTGGGTCTAAAGACTGGGTAGGACTCTTCTGTTTGCCTCCCCCTGTAAATAGACAATAGTTGAAGATGAATTCACAATTTCGCAAAATTTGACAATAATTATAAATATTTTTGGAATCAAATGTAGGCAAGTAAGAATTAAAGTGGGACCTCCAGTCCCAGACCCTCCTCTCTGGTCAGGAGGAATGTACTGGTGATATTTGAGTTTCCTCATTTTGGGTTTGGTGTCCCGGGGTTTCCGTGGCTTGAAGTTGATGGAGGAAGGTAATGAGGAGGAGCAGGTTGGGCTGTGAGGCCTTGCTGTCTATAAAGACACACATTACCCACATTTCAACTATAGTGGTGCTGGTGTGTCATTTCAAGAGTGGCGTGTAGAAAATTGCATAGAAAATGAAAAAAATATTTTTTTTCCACAGCATTTGCCTCATGTCAAGGTTAAACTCTTACACGCAGCGTACAAATGCCTCACAAATCTCCAGATGACAGCATGTGCTGGTTTTGACATACAGCCATGCCGCCTGTGTGTGAATGTGTTAACCTACAGGGCAAAAACTGAGCTCCCCCAGAAGTGCAAATTGACAGTAATGAATGCAGAGCAGCTTACTGCACAGCATCGGGTTTGACAAAACAGACATGTGACCATCTTATTTGGTTGAAGAATGCTACAATGTTTTTATACTATAGCAAGCATTTATAAACAAGCTACCAGTCTAATATATAGTCTAAAATAGTCAGAACAAAGGAAGAACCTTATGAAATTCAAATGTGGCACAAAATGAAAGTGAAACCACTATGGTTTTTAATATGACAGCATTAGCACAAACTAACCCGACAATACCTTTGGCAGCAGGGTTGTGGTCTGAGAGGTCAAATACATCCCATTTGGTCTCCCAGTTGTTGCCATGGAGTTCGATTCACTCACAGATTGTCTGATGCCCTCGGTTGCCGGGAGCAACGCCAAACTAGACTGAAGGCAGAATATCAGATTATCAGTTGACACATGGGGCTATTTCTGAACTCACACATCCGTTAATGTGAGGGTATTGGTGGGATTCATTCTGTGTTGCTGCTGACATACTAGTGTCTTAGTCTAAACTGTGTAGTTTCCTCACCTGAGCATGACGAGGGCTGTGGTGAAGGGACGAGCCCACAGCCGAGAAGTCACTCAGTAATTGGTCACCTGAGAGCCCCGGCAATGACGTAAAATCTGGGGATTGGTGAGCGCTGTGTTGCTCGGGGGGCGAGGAGGAGGGGCAGGATGAAATGTCATCTTCGAAGACATCAGCAGACAGAGAGAAAGAGGCAGGGCCTGAGGAAATGGGAAGCGAGAGGAGGTAAGGTCAAAGGAGGAGTAGATGAGATTGGAAGAAGGAAATAAATGAGTGCGACTCTGGCTGTGTGTGCCGGTCCATGCATGTGTGTGTGTGTGTTGACTCACAGTTCTCTAGGGGCAGTGTGTGTTTGTACTTCACGGGCCCAGGTGGACGTTGGATCCTCTCAGTGAGGTCCTGCGTCTGGCGAGACGTCTTCTGCCTCTGGGCCCCACACACAGTCCTCTCTGCGGGGACACGAAGGTTAGACGAATGGTGGAGATAAGTGGCGAGATGATGGGACAGATGGGAGATCAACAGACAGACACAGAGAGAGAGAGAGAGAGAGAGAGAGAGAGAAAGAGAGAGAGAGAGAGAGAGAGAGGCAAAAGATTTTTGGAACATATGTGATGTGCACAGCAGCGATGCCACAGGCAGTCAGTCCCAATACAAACTAGAAGAGCCATCAAAAAATAGTACTCCTAACACTAAATAACACAATAACACTCCTGTCCGTAGAGAGATGTATTCCCATGGATATGAACACGCATACAAGCACAACATTTTTAAAAGGGCAGAAAGGTAAATCAGATAGTTCGCAAAGCCTGATATTTTAAAAATAGTCTTTTCAAATGACTTTCAAAAAAAGGAAGGTGAGAAAGCGTCGGATAGATAAGGAGAGAAAGATGTCAGTAGGCTAAACGGTGACTATGATCCACGGATTGGCGGGTTTATCATACGCTGTCAATCACTGATATGTTTTCAGGCTGCTTAAAATGCAAAGCACCAGCGTGCAACAAAGTCAGACACATTTTCAACTGACAACTGATGAAACACGGAGCCCTTTGCCAGATTTGCGCACTTCATTTCCTCTCACTGTGCAACAGGAAGCGGAGAGCAGAGATGATGAAATACAGACACAAAGACAGAGAAAATATGCCACTGTGCTTTTTGCCGGAAGCGCAGAGGGTAAAGTAGGAAGAGGACAAGCAAAACCACTGCAGGCAGGCCATCACCTTGTGCAGTGTCGGTGTTGAGACCACAAGGGGGCAACTTCTGAGCGGCGCCACCGTCGGTTCGATGCTGCATCGGGAAACAGCAGTTCAGACCAACAGCCAGGGCCCATATTTTACTATGCAGTTCATTCAGGGGAAAGTTGGATAACAGCACTAATGTGGTGTCGTCCTGCTCTATCAGATACAATCAACGGTACGATCTAATATCAAAGAAAAACATGTGGAGGGAACCATTTCTGTACATGGGAACTTGGTTCCTCCTTCATCAAAACTTGCATTTGATCTGTGTGGTGGGAATGCCCTGCTGTTGGATGTCATGGAGGACCTGGATGCTACTCACCGGAGCTTCGCTCTGCTCTTTCTCTGCTTTTTTAGGGAAGCACTCAGACTTCACCCCTATGGAAACAGACGGTGTGATGAAACTACAATAGAGAGTTTTTTTTAGGGGATACAAGCATGATAGAGGAGCAATTCAGGTGAACCAGTGAGTGCATCAACAAAGCCCTCTCAGCTTTCAACTCATCCCTCAAAGTTGCAGCACGGAGCGTCTGACGTGCGCTTTTTTGTCGGCTGGCATCAGAATGTGCAACCTGCTTTAGCCTCAGAAGGAGAACTGAAGCTTGTCTGACTGAAATATCTCTTTTATGTCTTTAAATTAGTCTTTATTATCATTGCTGCAAAATGTATTTGTGGCTTTACCTTAAAAATACTGCCTGATATTTAGAGCAAACTGATTGCAAATCTGCAATTCAATACACACTAATATCACAAGATGCTATAGTTGTTTAATACATCTCTTATACCTGCTGTATATGTGAAAAATTAGTTCATGCTGAATTTGTCGATTAAATATGCAGTACAATACGTCAAAAACCACTTTTAGCTTCTTGCACGATCAGAGCTTTTAATTAAACACAACATTTTGACTCCAAAAGGGATATCAAAGGAAAGTAAATCTGTTAAATAGAGTAAAACCATTACGCGTGAAAAGAGGCAAACTGAAGAGGCTTACAATGAAATCCTTCCTGCATTCATGGTGTTCAGTGATCAATAACAATGCAACTGACGGAGATAAACTAACCAGTGTCTGCATTGATTTCACTCTGCCTTCGGTTCTGAATCCTCAACTGCAGGACTGAAAGAGAAACAGAGATTGAGCTGTCTGTTAAAAACAAAACATAAGGAAGTGTCGCCAGTCACATTGATAGAACAGTACGTTGGTTTGATGTGAAGGACAAATGATCTGGCGGGATAGAAATGACACACGCAGCGAGGGAGGAGTGGAGCACTGCGGGACATCCCGATCACCGTTAAGTGATATGACCTCGTAATGTATATTTCCCCATGACTTATAGATCGTGTATCTCTTGGCACGCCTGCGCACATGCACACACCGCACGTATGCACGTATGCACGTTAGCATTCAGGCCACACGCAGACAGGTGACGCAGGGCCGGCCGCGGCGTGATTTCAGTGGGTTTTGAGATCTGAGCGACCTGGCGAGGGGACGGGAGGGAGGGGGAGTGGGGGGAAGGGGGAGTTACTATTTATCCCTCAGTATGTCTATTTCTGTTCATCCCATCCCCCCTTCAGCTGTCCTGCTCTCTCCACCAGCCTCTCACATCCCCTCCTCCTCACGTCATCGCCGCTCGTGCAGCTAACTACCCCACTCTCTGACAACTCCAAATGAAAGTTTAACTTAAGAAAGGCTGTGTGTGTGTGTGTGTGTGTGTGTGTGTGTGTGTGTGTGTGTGTGTGTGTGTGTGTGTGTGTGTGTGTGTGTGTGCGTGTGTGTGCGTGTGTGTTTGTTTCTACGGCTCAATCATTCAGGCTTCTTAAAGTCTTTTGAATTAAGCACTTTTATAAAGTTCTCCCAACTCACAGATGTGATGATGTAAGTGAACTGTGACCTGTGACATAAAGCACACTGTGCGATGTCAATGGTCAGTAAAAAACACGTACAATTTACAAGAGCTGAGCAGGATCTCAAACCGCCATTGACAATGTTTTTTCCGCAAAGGATTTAGAATCACTTTGAATCACTTTGATGAAGCAGCAAACTTAATGGACCAACATAAGACTCTGCATGTACATACATGATGTCAACAGAGCAGCTGCCCTCAGGAATCATGTTTTCCAGCAGGTGTTTGTACACCTAAGGGACAGCGTCTCTGCCATCTCGCCGTCTCTCTGTTTTACCAGCCGTTAACGACAGCTGCCTGAGAGCAGCAGCCACTACAACTTCAATTATTCAGCCTTAGGAAGGTCTTTAAATGCTGTTTGTGACCGAATGCTGGCAGACAATATGTTCGTTTAATTATAAATTATACCTTTGCAAGATATAATGTGATAGGGTCCCATCGTCAATTAATCTTTTTTTCCAAACTGTAATATTGATTGGTGCTTATTTAGACATTAACAATGAATTCGGTTTAAACGAGGATTTGAATAAAAGTGTTTTACGTCGCTGTGGGGAAAATAAATATTTGTCCCCTTTTAATCGGCGTGTATTGGAACTCCCAGATTCCTCACCTGAGCGGAACTTGTTCCGGATGAGAAGAGACCTCTCGGAGGCCAGCAGCGTCATGGTGGGAGGTGGGGTGGGTGGGGGTGGGGCTGGGGGGAGGAGTAGCACAGGGAGAGAGAGGAAATTCCTGGTGTCACTCTACCAGGAGGAATGGACCCCTCTCCTTCCGTCTCTCACTGTTGCAGGGGATCAGAGGAAGCAGTGGGGGAGAGAGGGGGAGACAGATGCTCGTTAATCTACTGATAGACACAAAGCGGTATTGATAGAGGCACAGAAAGCACAGCGGAGAGGTGATGGAGGTGTGTGTGTGGGGGGGGGGGGAATAGACGCAGAGCCTCTCAGACCCACAGGCGGGCCGAACGCCGCAGCAGGCCTGTCGCAATCACGCGAGGTGTCACACAGGCCCACCTGCAGAGACAGAACTAACGACGCTCACAATTAAACAGACAAGGAGGCTTTTAGGGAGACAATCCGAAAGAGCCCGAGGACGAGGAAGAGGACGAGGAAGAGGAGGAGGAAACTGAGACGCCGCGGCTGCAGGATGCAGATTGCGACGGACAAACGTGAACTTGCGACACCCACGGCATCACACAAACACACACACACAGACACACACACACACACCGTGACGAAGTGTGTCACGCACCGCAAGGAGCGGAGCCGCCTCTCAAATAGGGGGAGCTGGGAATCTACATACACACACAACTTATTAACAATATTGATTTGAACTGGCCACACTAAGCCCAAAGGAAGCATCGAATGGACAAACACACACACACACACACACATGCTGTGGAGTGGCTGAGGTTATGAATACTAAATCACAGCAGCGCCCTTCTTAGTACCAATCAAATCAATGCACACACACACCTCACTTGTGTACAATACACGTCCAAAAAGAAGGCCGCTCGGTCATTAATGCAATCCAACAACAAGCGATTGCTTGACTGTATTATTCCTCTGTAGGGCACTGAGGCACAGGAAGGCTCTGGAAACACTGAGAGAATAAAAGAAGGAGAATGAAAAAGAATACTTACAGAAAAATAGAGAATTGTCCCTCTGGGGACTTTGGAGTGGATTTAAGATTAAACTGAGAGAGTTGCAAGATGGAGGAGGAGAGGGAAAGAAAGAACTTCGTAGTGAGTTAATGACGATTTCTTTCTTTCATGTTCTTTTCATATCCTTTTTTTTTTCCTCCAGTTTCCACACGTCTTCTTCTTCTTCCCCCGAAAAGGTGAAATGCAAAGAGAAAAAGGATCAGTGGTTCCTTCGTCCCCTTCCGATATCAAACTCGCCCTCTCTGACTCGCTCTATCTGCCCCCTCTACTCATCCGCCCCAAAGCATCCTGGATCCTTGGTGCCAACTGTGAGCGACTGTCAAACTTCACCCCTCCTCCTCCATGCCCCCTACACCTCCCCTTTCCTATCCGTTAACAGCCATTGACTCCCTCTCTGATTAAGGTGTCGATTCAAAGCCAATAAGCACCGATGTGTTGGTTCGGATGTAACACGGCAGACGCACTGATGCTTTAATGTTGGGACCAGACACTATTTTGTTTTGGACTTGGTACAAAAATCATGTTCTGCAGACTGCAGGCTCACCTGTCAAGACACATTCGGGTCACCCTTTTAAAGTGATTTAGTGCTGTTTGCGCCCAAGTGTAGGTGTGTGTGAGTGTATATTGTCGTGTGTGACACCACTGGGAGTCACGGGTCAGTAAGTCGGCGTCCGCCAGCGTGTACTTTACAGCGTGCGTTAGCGTTTGTGCCAGGGCAAAAAAAAAATCACCCGAGTTTCCCCTCAACCTTCCAAAGTAACTGAGGTGAACGTGAGTGTGTGTGTGTGTGTGTTTACGCTCTCTACATGTGTGTGTGCATGCGTGTGTCTAGGTGTGTGTGTGTGTGTGTGTGTGCGTGTGTGCATGTGCCTCAGGGCTGCAGGGGGAGAAAAATGGGGGAAGTGAGGTCGCTGCTGGAGCACCTGTTCTGTCGGTTTGACAGACAAGCCGGCGTGTGCTGGTTCAGCAGGTCGCGGAGAAGGGGGGAGACAGAGAGGGGAGGCGGGGAAGGGTGAGGCAGAGAGGACGGCATAAAGTTAGAGAAGAAGGGAGGCCCTTGGGGAAGTCTTCAGGAGGGGGGGGGCTGCAGGGAAACAGGGGGAGGGGGGAGGGGGGGCAGCGAGGAGGTTGCTGCCATTTTATCTGATTTGGGAAGAAACATTGACCAGGAGGGCCACTAATCGGAGAACACGGGGCAGAGACAGCGTCCACGGCTGCCATGGAACGAAGTGGGAATACTAATGGAACCCAACATGAATGGGAACTTAAATATAGCAATACATGGTCATAGACGCCGCGGCTCCCTTGTGCCATTTTCACAGTATCTCGTATTTCTCGTCACTGTAGAGTCTCACCTTTGACGGCTTTTTTTCTCTCGTGGTCTGTAAATGCATTTCACACGCACACATTACACACATATAAACACCGACGGCCCTGTTATTGAGGGAAAGGTGATGTAATTGCTTATTCCTCTGATTCCCCTCCAAAGGCCCACAGCCTGGACTCTGAATAACACCTGTTACTCTCTCTCTCTTTTCCTGCCTCCCCCCCTTCCTCTCTCGCCCTAACACCCACGTACAGACTCACACAGTGTTAATTCTGCACTGTGTCTGGTGAGCGAGGAGGCTTGCGCGCTGTTAACCTTTCCCTTGCGCAATATCATATTTCTCTGTTCCGTAGAGCACCGTGAAAAACCGCACCATGCAGCGTGGAATAAAAGCCTATTCATGGCTTTTCCATATTTGTGTCAAATCTGCCCCCTTTGCTGCTGAAACTGCAGAGTTTGAACGTAGATCCAGCTCTCCCCAAGCTCACTGTCTCCTGCCTTTCTCCCCCACCGGTGTAAATATCCCTCCACCATTTGAGAGAGCTGAGAGGCAGCATGTGGAATGAGCCGGTTCATGCATCACATCGTAGGTGTGAGTGTGCCCTCACATGGCTGAACTGTGCAACAGCCATGGAAAGAAAATCCATCCATGGTTAGTTTAGCTTTCCATCATGCTGGCTCTCAGTGGCATTAATGGGACGTGTACGGCGCGACAGAGCAGATATACGACAAACCCATCAAAGTGAGTAAAGAGAGTAAAAAGGCTGAAACATACCAGTCTGACACACTCCGTCACATCTGCTGCCGCTCCCTGGTGCGTCGTCACTACGCCTGTTCTCGCTCCTCGCCTCCACCTTTATCACTTCAATCACTTGGCCGTGTGCCTCGTGCCACTCAGAGGCCCTGCTGCCTGTTCCACTTCACGCAATACAACCACACCAGCCTCACAAACACACACGCGCAGACCGATCACACACATAGCTGTCTGCTCTGCGTCCATCATCCATCTGTCGGTCAGTCACTGCACTTTGCGGCTGTGTGTAAGCTGGATAGCGACCAACCGACATACGCATAATACTGTACTGCACACACACACACACACACACACACACACACGCACACACACGCACACAGACCTCCAGCTAGACTGTTGATCTCACACGGATGAATATTCATCATTATCATGCACTGAGTTCGGTCCAGTGGTGTCAATTAGGAGACGAGGATCAGTCTGTTTTGTGTTGCTGACGGACAGCATTGATTTAATGGTTCAACCATCAGAGTCCTTAACATTACGTACGCAACACATGCACGAGCAAAATTAAAGGGGAATTGGTTGAACATTTATTATTTATCAAGTATCTTGTGTTTTTTATTTATTTATATATAAAACATTATATATATATATACTAAATAAACACATGGGAATATTTTCATTAGTTAACTTGGTTTATATATTATGAATGTGCAAATGGTCTGTAGAGCACACGTTAACTTGAAAGGGAATTTAAAAACGTATATATATTACAGTCTAGAACGTCTGTATATAGTTTTATATAAAAGTTTTACTTATTGTTTTTTTGTGTATAAATATTTGTTGTAACCAACATTGTTATGTAATTATTACAAATAAATTACATATTTTTATAGCCATTGTATTTCGAGCTCCCTGCATCTTACTATACCTGACTGATTGAGTTGAGTTGGTGCTGAAAAATGAAAACTATGGACATAATGTAAGTACTTGGTTGACCTTTGCCCTTCACAACCCTCTCCTTGTGTGGACCCTGTAGTGTGTTTGCCGGACTGAAATACAACGGCGCTTAGCGCGGGGACGCTCGGCATGCCGGAGCGTCGCTGCCCCCACAATGACCAGCCTAGAAATAAGGAGCCGGTCGGCCACAAGGACCCAGTCGGGTCACTTGAGCGATACAGTATTTAATAACTGTCCTTGAGCTGAGCTCCGTTGAGCTCGCTGGCTTAAATTGAGCGGAAAATTGAGAGTGTGCAAAAAAAAAAAAAACAGGGGACTGTCTCACAAACTCAATTACTCTCTGGCGGCAGTCCAGGTGAGTATATATCAGTTATTTAAAAAAAAATGTAAATCACCAAGATCCATATAAAGTCAGGTCCCATCTTTTGTGATTCATTTAGAGAAGAGAATTAACTTTGAGGATCAGTTTAAATCAAACGGAGAGATGTGGCCCTTTGGTTCCTTATCTCTATAGATGAGTCATATGTGATTAGGAGGAAAAGCCACATCGAATATGCTTCAATTCTTTAACATCTGTGAAGGACGAGGAATAAATATTGGTACAAAGAATGATTGTATGTTGACAAAATTTAATTCAAATAAATTAACATAACTCACATGAGACAAATCAAAAATCTGAATCATCTGAATATTTTGTTTGCAGGAATAACTCAAAAACATTTGGTCAAATACTCACATGATGAGTTACACACTTAAAGTTGACAGCTACAACTTTGCAGCTGCAAAAGAAATACGACCGTTTTCCTTCACAATGTAACGTGAATATTGAAATAAAACAAGTACCTCAAATGACTCACAGTGTCTCTGACGGTAAGAAAGGTAGATTACATCCTTCACATAAGATAGTGCAGAAGTGCAGAAGTGCAGCTCTTAGAAATATCGCTCTTTATGTACACAGCTCGAGCGAAGGACTGTTCAGAGTAAATAAGTTATCCTTCTTTTCTGAGCACTTGAGGGTTTCATTTTGGATTGAAAAGGAATGCGACTTCACGTGGCAGTCTGATTAATATTATGAACTTAAATTCACGCATGTGCGTTCCTATTTCATGTGCATAGACACGTATGCAACTTTTTCATTAGGAGTGCTAACGTCAAAATCAATAATGAGGTCGAAGCCGATGAAGCTCCCACCGCTACTTGGAATGGGAGTAATATACATTTGTTAAAAAGAATTAGCTTAAAATCACTGAAATAAATATTGCAAGTGCTCCCTTTTTTAGTGTTAAAAAATGACAAGTTTAGCCTTTAACCAGAGATGTGATCCCCCTCCTTCCGTTCACTTCGGAGTTTACCTGCAGAAAACTCTTCTAAGTTTCCACCTCGGAGTCAGAGTTTTCCAGATTGGACACGGTGGAGCTGTACCATTCGGCGCTCTCCTCTTCGTCCTGCACTCCGGATCCCACGCCTCCTCCTCCTCCTCCGTCCCTTCTCTCGTTCAGCATTTCCATGGCTACTTGGTGGTACGGGTGTTTGCGCTTGGTGTGCCGGCGTAGCGTGTTGCGCTCGGCGAAGCGCGTGTGGCAAAGTTGGCACTGGTAGGGTTTCTCTCCGGTGTGGACCCTCTGGTGGCGCTGCAGCTCACCGGCCTCCCTGAAGCGTTTGGCGCAGATGGGGCACACAAAGTTCCTCTGGCCTGTGTGGATGTGCTTGTGTCTCTGTCGAGGGGGAGGAGAGCAGAAAATCTATCAAAAAATCGGTGAATTGTAGCGACGAACCACTCGGCAGATCTGTCTTGATTGACTGTTTTGGTTCACTCTAGGCAGCCGCTTCGGGCTAAACACCTCTACCTGCTCAGCGGTGAGCTGGTGAACATGGTGGAGCATCGAGCAGACAAAGAGTGACACATTTACGCCAAGGGCCTGCGGACGCCAGAGCGGAATGAGAGTAAATATTGAACCTACTCATAAGCCACAAACTGGATGCCGACATAAGCTTGGATTCATCGTTTGAACGAGCAACATGTTCACTTAAAAGCGTGTTCACGGCCCTTTTTCTGTTCCGCCTGAGTAACCTGGAAAATCAGTTATCTGGTTTAAAAGTAATCGCACTGATAATTAGCGGCATCTGCTGGAGCGACTGATGTCGTTACTCGTGCTGCTGCTGTTTAGCTCCAACCACTGACCTGCAGGTGGCTGGAGCGTTTGAAGGCTTTGCCGCACTGCTGGCAAACGTGCGGCTTCTTCTGCGAGTGCGTGATGGCGTGGCGCTCGAGGTCGGAGAGGTAAAAGAAGACCCGCGGGCACAGCTGGCAGTACAGCACCCTGCGGGGACCCATGGCGTCGGGCGACCCCTCCGGAGACAGGGGGTCCAGGGGGTCCAGGGGGACGAGACTGTCGGAGGGGAGCGCGGCTCCGACGGGAGGCGAGGGAGGAGCGGCCGCGCTGGAAAAGTAAAGATGGTCGTCGAGAGGGAAGCGTTCCGAGTGCAGGTCAGACGGGTCGAACCCCGGCTCGGAGGCTGGCGATCGGGCCTCCGCGCGGGGCTGAGCCGAGGGGTCACAGGTCAAACTGGCAGGCTGCGGGGGCGGGGAGGATGCTGTAAGAGTCGATGGCTTGTCGTTTTCACTCGAGACTTCTTCTGCAGCTATGGCTTCGCTTCCGGGGTTCGAGTGGGACGGGCTGTCTTGAGAGGGGACGCCCGCGCCGCCGCGGCCGCTTTGAGGGACGGGAGGGGACGGACAGACGCTCAGAGAAGCGAGAACCGAGCGGGAGCTCACATTGGTCCCTGCCCCCGGCGGGATTTCGGGCGGCGTTTTGGGGCTTAGTCTGATGACGGGATAGGACAGCGTGGACAGGGGCGGACATCCCGTCGCGCCGAGCTGACCGGGGGGCAAAGGGAGGGAGACGTGGGCCGGGGCCGCCGTGATCTGGGACAACTGACCGGTCGTAGGGTCCAGGACGGCGATGGGGGTGGAGGTAGAGGCGGAGTCACCGGAGGAAGAGGCCACGGACGAAAGGAGGAGGAACATTGGGCTGGAAGCACCGGGGGAGGTCTGAGTCACTGAAAGGGGAAGCGAGATGCCCGTCTGAGCTGAGGGGAGCCGGGGTGAGGAAAAGGGGGAGGACAGCAGGAGAATAGGAGCGTTACTGGAAGGGTTAGTGAGGATCTGAACGGGCCGGCCGGGGATTAAATTAACACCTCCAGCCTCCTGACCAGTTTCGACGGCTGGCTCTGCGGCTTCAGAGCTCTCTGGGTTCGCAACCGAACTCGTAAAGACTTCTGGGGGCTTCGTTCGACCGCCGTTCACTGACAGAAGATCGGCGGCGGGGGCTGGTGAGTAGTAAAGATGATCACAAGGTGCATTTAGTGCAGTGTCTGAACTTTGGCTGAGGCTAGGATCGGCCAACGTGGACAATCGCGCTGAGCCCGTCCCTTGCCCCTCATCGACCTGGGGCAGCTTGAGTCCGTCCTGATCGAGCGTGTAGGGTATTCCCTCGTCGTCTATGAGAAGAAGGTCATTGGCGTCAAAGTCTATAGCGGGGAGGGAGGTAAAGACGGAGGTAGAGAAGAAGGAGGGAGACAGGAGAGAGTCCTCGAGGGTGTCGCCAGCGTCCACACGCAGAGCGGAGACGTCTGCTTCAGCGTCGTCGTCCTCTTCTACTATGTCCCTGTCTCCCTCTCCCTCGTATTCATCCACCTCCATAATCAGCGAGCTCTCACAGCCAGAGTCGTCCAGGAAGGACTCACACCTTCTCTCTCGGCTCGCCGTTTTCTTGGGCAAACTCAGGTCCAATGGCTCCGTCTGCTCCTCCGGTCCCATTTCATCAAACGTCAAACGAGACTTCAAATCCAAATCATTCAAAATGAGAGGAATATTTTCCTCAATGTCTCTCTCTGCAGTTTCCTCTTTAACCCCTTTCAGGCTCAATACGTTATCCGTATCGACGCTTGATATTAAAGGAGTTTCTGACGTGTCAGCGGGAATGATTTTAACACCCGGAAAATGTTTGTCTTTGCACTTTGTTTGCTCGTGGAATGATTCTGGCTCAGCTTCCTCAGTCTCATGATAAGCAGCTTCTGTGATCTCCTCTTCATTCTTAAAAGCAGATATCGTGACGTTACCGTTTCTTTTTGCTCCAGCTGAGACCGAAACAGATCTTCCCAAACGTGAGCGAGTAAAGTCTTTGGCCGGGCCGACGGCAGCCGCGTCTGTGATTGGCCGCTTGCACCGTGCGGGGACGACAATTTTGAGTCTGATTGGTTGGCTGCGTAACACGGGCACTCCGGTCTTGACTGTGATTGGCTGTCTAAACGCGCCGCTCCTCCTTGTTTCCTGAGAGGCTCGCTTAGAAGTCCCGCCCACCTCTGGCTTATTCCCATTGATTGACGGCGCAGACCGTCTGATGGTCCGCGCTGCCGGTTCGGGGCACTGCGGGCGGCTGCCCGGTACTGTACAGTGTGAGGTCTCTTCCTCTGGGTCCAAACAGCCCTCTGTCGCTGGGCCCGATCCCTCTGCACGCTGGCTGCCATTTTGGACATCCAGGCTGCCCCTGGTCAGGACTGAAGCCAGCTGGGTCTCCATTTTGGGGCAAACCCATTTATGTTTCTATGGAATTGGAATAAAACCACATATTAGACACTCGGAGCAGCGGCGTTGGAATATAAACAAGCCGGTTCCATGGAATCAAATGAAAGGTTTAAATCATTATCCCGGTGTTTGCCGGGAAAAGTCTCAGTGGTGATTATTGGGGTCAAGTTGAGTGCAGATTGCTAATCATCACATTTGATTGATGTCTTTTAAACGAGACCCCCCCCCAAATCCCCCAGTCCGAAATGATGAGCGACCCTTCGACCCCCCCTCACCCTCCTCCTCCTCCACACAGACTCCTGTTGGTCACATTGCGTGATCCGAAATTATAGCTCAGCACATTTCCTACCGAGGGGTCGAACGGAGTCGCCGATCATTCAGCGAAACGCACGAAACGGAAATAGTTCCGACTGATGGGAGCGAAACCCCCCCTCCTCCCCCACCTCACCACTTCTACCATGCACGTGCATCACATATAATAAAAAAACCCTCTCATTTCGCCTCGGAACAACATTCATATTGCAAAATAAAACCTCTAGTAGAAGTCTGGGGAGCAACCGAGGAGCTGCGCGGAGGACGCCATTACGCACCGCGCGAGGGTCCGAAATCCCAAATCCTATTATTATTATTATTATTATGGTGCGTGTGCGCCGCGGCGGCTCTCGGACCTGCGACAACGCTGCTGCGTCGGTCGGCGCGGAGGAAAACGTGTATAATATTTACAGACAGCCGCGGTGCGGAGCGGATCCTTCCCCTCGCCGCGGAGCGTCCTCGGACCCGCAGCCAGCCATCTTTAAGAGTCGAGGGTCCGAGACCGCCGAGAAGCGCGACCCGCGGACACCCTCGGGACAAACTTTCCCCGGCGCGCGCCCTCCTTTCTTTAAAAAAAATATATTTTTCATATTATCGCATCTCTGCTGTCAGAGCCGGACGATTTTTAAATAAATAAATAAAACAACTATTTTATTCCACTGTACTCCACCCCGAACACTCGCTGCATAGGGAACAGGCTTACCCGAGCTGTGGATATTTCCGGAGGACCAAATATGACTGTGCAGTGTTTAAAAAAAAAAATAAAAAAAAAAGGGTGATGCTGCGAATGCCGGGGGAGGGAGGGAGGAAGGGGGAGGGAGGGGTCAGGGGGAGTTGCTATGGTGTCGCAGCCTACCGGGTCCGACCGGCAGCCATGTTCAGCCTTTTGTGGGTAACGTTGAACCTGCAGCACGCACGAGGTGCAGGAAACGCGGAAAAAAACAGCAAGCAAAGCGGACCAGCGAACCAGTTTGACCTCACTTTATTTTTTCATCGTTAAACATCTTACAAGCCTCGAGACTTGATGCGTCCACAGGAGGAATAAAAAGGTCACACAGTGAAATATCACAGAGTCGAGTCGTTATTGATAAAGCCGCGTGGACAAGTGTAAACGTGTTACATGCGCGTCCTCGCATGGATGCGTCCTGGCTGAAGCCGCAGAGGGGGGTGGGTGGGGGGGCACAGGGTAACGCTCGGGGTGGGTTTGCAGGTTACGATTTGTTTGACAGCGGGCGGTGGAGAAGGCCAAAGGTCACTGTACGAAACCATGAAGCCACGAATCACAATCGCAGCGCGGGTGCAGGATGCTGAGTGTCAGGAGACGACGTTCAACGTTGGGACCGCGGTGTCCCGTTGTGTTGAACGCATGGGGGGGGTCTTCACTCGACATCATCGGGCCCACACGCTTCGATCTCTGACACCAGCCGGTGGGGGGAAGAGTTTAAACTGCAACCATGTGGGCTCTGAAGAAGAAAGGGAAATTGATGAGAATGGTGAATGTTGTGAATCAACCCCCTCCTCATGATGTTCGTGCGGGCGGTGCGCGCGGTGTTGAGGGCTTACCGAGGTAGCAGGCCGGCGTCTGGAGCCTCCCGTCGAAGCACGTCTGTGTCGCAGAGAAGCTGCACTGCTTCCTCGGGTGCTTGCAGAAGAACGTCACATGTTCACCATGAGGAACCAAGGTGTCCGTGACGTCAAACGGCCAGCGCTTCACTCCGCCGATCACCACGCGGCTTCGCTGAGCGGGGATGAGGCAGCGCGCTGGGATCCAACAAACATCAAAGTATGATGAACATCAAATGATCATCCTTATACTTAAAACCCGTTTATGTTTGTCGCTGGGTTTATTAAAACACCCGTCACCTCTGCAGTGTGGCGGGGACGCACTCCAGCTCCCGTTTGACAGGCAGGTGACCTTCTGGGGTCCATCCAGCAGGAAGTTCTTTTTGCACAGGTAGTGGATGTCGAAGCCCACTTCGTATTCAGTCTTCTGAACAGCCACCACGTAGCCCTGCTGCACCTCTCGAGGAGGCTGGCAGTACACTTCTAAGAGAGGAGCGGATTGTCAGCGCGCTTATTCAGGGGATTCTCTAATGTTTGTTCTCTTCGTCAAAAAAAGACAGGGAGTACCTGGGGTGTTATCACAGTATCTGCTCAGTAAGGGGATACTTCACTGTGTCTCCACATAGTAAAGAGTATTCTTTAATGCAACAATTCCTCTGAAAGAAAGCAGGCCGTGCAACTTCGGTTTTGGCCACTAGATGGCAGAAGAGAACTATGAAATAGAGCAGCACGCAGATTCGTGATGGAGTTTGTGTGATTCTGTCTCCTTCTTTATTTCACTCTTCTTTTATTTTCAAGCATGTGAAAGTAATGCAAACAAATAGACGAGCATCCCGATAAAAACTAGTTGTAGTAGTTAGTAGTAGTTCACTCCAACATCATCTTCCGTTTCCCTGCTGCTTGCCTTAACCTAAAAGATGTACACACACATGGTGCAAGATACAGCACTCTTACCTTTACAGATGGGGTGAGGATACTGCCAGGTCTGATTATCCTGGCAGAAATTTTCCCTGCTGCCCACAATGTCGGACCTGCAGGACAGAAGGGAGAGAGTGACGGAGACAGATGGCAGCTAAGAGAATTGAAAGCTAAGAGCTGAGGATGAAATGCAATGGAGAGAAGGTGTAGATGGTGTCTTTTTCACACTCTGTCTCTCCCTTTCAGAGTGTCTGAATGTTGTGTGCACAGTTCTGGCTGACACATCCACCCTGGCTCATCTTATCCCGCGTGTGAGTCAGTGTGGAAAGGGAAGTCAATACAAGATAGACTGTAACCACCTAGTTAGCTGAATGGAGAGATTGTCAGCTGGGAGAAAATGAATTCCCTGCCAATCATCGCTAATGACTACACGTTCCCCAACGCCTCTCCCACAACTGTGCAAAGTAGCTGCATCACATTTACTCCACTGTGCTGTGGAGTAGTTGAGTAGCTCCATTTCATGCTACTTCATAAACTCTTACGTGACTAAATCTTATAGCTTTAGTTTAGCAGGACTTTACGTTGCAAAAACACAACATTGTGTTAAAGAGTAAAGCCCTGCTTGTGGTGCTTAGCATAAAGAAGTCCCTAAGAAGCTGCATGACACCTCAATTAAATGAAAATGTCAGATAAAATTATTTTTCTGCAGAAAGAATACTTTAGTTTATTTACTATTTAATACATTATTGCTTTAAGTACATTAAGCTAATACCAGTGATGTGCTTTTACTCAAGTAGGATTTTAAACTCATTAATTTATTGGTTGTTAATGTGCTGGGACTTTTCTCCGAGCAGCTCCGCTCTGATCAAGCCGTCCCTCCGCCGAATGCCTCATCTTCACACTCCATCCCCGTCTTCTCACTTCCTCCATTTGTACCTTCCGATCACTTTAGGTTTTCATAGCCTCTGCCCACGCGCTCGCTTGACCTCCCATCATCCCCCGGCTCTTACCCAGACAGGCAGGTGTAGCGGATGGAGGTGCCGGCTGCAGCGTCGCCCTGGATGCTGAAGGTGTCGACGATGTCCTCGGGCAGAGGGCAGCTTTGGGTAGAAGCAGGTGACCGAGTCCCTGTTGGTCAAAGAGGAACACACAAGTACTGTTAAAAATACCTCAGTCGCATCTCCCCCAAGCAGTAGAATCACTCAAGTGATGTACTGAAGGACAATTTGGAAGTACTTTACTTTGAAAAGTAAATCAAATTAGTAATCTAAGTACTCTAAATGTCCCCCCTCCTACAGTATAGTTGCAAACATTGTACTTTTTACTTCATATGATTACTAGTTACTATGCAGATAAAAGCTGTGATCACAAAACCTACGCATTTTTTAAACATTGTGCATTGTTGCAGACTACTGCCGAAGGGTATAAACCAATCAGAAAGCACACCGACAATGGAATAAACGTCCACATTTTATGTGATTTTGCAGATGACGACCATTAGAAAAGAAGGACTCATTGGAGTCCGTGTGTCGTTCTGTTTAAGTTCAAATAACCCTTCTTAGGTAATACATTGGAGTTAGCTATATATCTGTGATTGTGTAACACCTGGCAGTGCTCTTTCCTGGAAGTTTGAGTGCCTCACGCTGGAAATATAAATATCAAGAGTGGTGCTTGGAGAGAGGCCGAAGCGACCCGAGCTCCATCAAGCGCGGGTTTGGGAGCTGAACGCGGCTTTGAAAGGAAGAGGCAGCTCTTGCCGGAGGGCAGTCTTAGGTATTTGAAACCGAGGAACGTTAATACAGGAATGTAAAGGGACCTATGGGAGAGGGAGAGCTACGAGTCTTATTTGGCCGCGGATGAAAGCCCGAAGCTCAGTTCTGTTTTCACATATCGCCCTTCTCCTGCCTCTTCCACTGCTGCCACCTACACACGCTGCAGCACCAAACCGCCACGAAGGAGGTATCTCAGATTCATCTCCCCCCCCCCCAAAAAATGGCAAAAGAGTGATTTTGAAAGAACCGCAACGTTAAAAACACACCGCAAGCGGATCGACAGCAAAGATATAAAAGGTTTTTACTTGTGTTTATCTCCCCACCAACACACACACACGCAGATGCGTGCAAACCGAAAAGCCTTGGGGCTGCATGCTTGTCCTTGGCTCCCATTGTACAGAGAGACCTTATCAGAGGCCTCAGATGGAAGAGGATGAGAGGAGAAAGAGATGAGAGGAAAAGAGGACGAGAGACGAGAGCAGAGGAGAGGAGAGCAGGGAACAGAAAGGCCTGAAGCAGCATGAGCAAGAGAGCTCTCTGACTCTCCTGACTGTGATCTGTCGCCTACGCACAGACACACACACACACACACACACACACAACACAACACTTACACATGTGCAATCCCTCCCCCCAACACACACACACACATCTAATGTATGGAGAAAAAAATCTACCTCTCCATTAACACACACACATACACACTGGCTGCAGACGCACATTCACACCCGCTCTGTGCCACTTTGACAGTGATTGGCCACCCACTGCCTCTCAACAGGCATGAAGGAGCTCGACTCACACATGCACAGGACACGCACACAACACAAGCCCTCTCACACGTTCAAAAACCCACCTACCTTCTGTCTGTCTCTCCGCAGGAGGATATACCCTACGCGAGAAACAGAGAAAGAGCTCGTATCCTTATTTAACGTCTTTGAAAAGATAAATAATCAGGAGGGTGAGATCCAGCTGGTTGAGGATTCCTAAGAAAGCGTATTTACGGCGGCGCCACCGTGTTTATGGCAGGATTTCGGACCTAGAGAGCTGGAATTTTTCAGCTTGAAGGAAGCAATAAGCAAGAACACCATTGTGTGTTGGTGAGATAGGTTGTGAAAGTATTGGTGCCTTTTATTTGTGTACTGCTGAGCATCTTTATGCCACCTATGCCTTTCATGGGGCCACTTAAATCTCAGAACAATAACTTATAACAATTTGGGATTTTGTATTGTACTGGATATAGTAAAGTATATTTAGTGTAGTTTATTTAGTCTATACATGAATAGGTTTTAGATAATATAACTCCACAGAATGAACAACTGTAGTTTCGTACACAGGGATGTAGAAACAGAACACTACTGGTCCGTTGTGTACCTACAAACACCACACACATGTGCCTCCATATGATGCAAACACACACACAGGCGTGTTCGGCTTTCCACTCCTCTTTAAACTTATCAACAGTTCATCTGTAAAATCTTCCCGACAGCCGATGTGAACAACTGAAGCTCCGGTTGCTATGGTGATGAGGAGAATAGGTCCCAGTTGTGCAATGTCTCAGCCGGCACAACGACAGACGGGTTTTCATTCCTGAATATCTCTCTCTCTCACTCTCTCTTTCTTTCTGTCTAAGTACATTGCATAAACAATAAATCACAATAGAAGCTATGTTTAATCCTTGTCCCCCGTCATGGACCACCGACTGCACACGTGCTGTACAATCGCTTCTGCGGTTAAAGAAGCAACACTCAATTTGAGTCAGCAACAAATACCACAGCAACATTTTCATGAAGTCATTGTTGTAATGGAGCCCGACACAAATAGAGAACCTCTCTGCGCTGAACTCAAACCCACCTGTGCAGATGGGCTCCTCCCCACTCCATCGTCGGTCACCTTGACAACGGCGGATGGTGGCGTCCAGGCCACTGGGCAACGCGAAGCCTGGCTTGCAGCGTACTTCGAGCAGGGCCGAGAAGGAGTGAGTGGGAGAGAGGAGACGAGCCTCTGAGTCCTCACTGGGGGGCAGAGGCCAGGGACAAGTCCGACCTGAGGGGAGAGGAGACGGTCCAGGGGGGGGCGAGACAATCTCACAATGTGCTGGATTGTTAAAAAGGGGGGAAACCAATGAGGCTGTTACAACCACACGGCATGCATTCCCAATGGCCACTCTTACAACGCACAGGCCCAACGCAAAGCTGGTGTCCCGCGCTATGAGCCCCGATTTTATTTTTAAAAAAACACACACAAACGGATGTGTGTTGGCGCAGCTGCGTTTAGACACACAAACAGTTTCAATTACCAGAGTCCACAGTAGTGTTTGCGGTGACGACTCGAGACACACATGCATACAAATAGTTACCTGGAGCCACACAGCTGAGCCCACACTGGCCGTCACACAGGCACTGGCGCCTGTTGCCACAGTCCCGGTCGGCCTTGCAGGGCCGAGGACACGTCCTCCTGCTCTCCTCTCCCAGAAGTCTATCCGGACACAACCCTGCGGTGACACCACACACGCCGTCGGCACAGTAATTGCTTCGTAAAAAATGCAAACGCTGAGGGGCTGTAAGGGGGATTGTTTGCCAACTGCTTTGTTTTTTGTTTCGAGGGAAAAGGAATTCAGAGTAGGTGGCCGGGCTAATAGTTGCCACCCAGGTTGCCAGAAAAGTAAGTATTTATATGGTGGGCTTTATTTGCTCTTTGCCCTTCGGTTATCTTGTTGTTGTTTTTTGTTATCTTACTTCTGCGAATAGTTTTAGAGTTTTTACTCGGGTGGATCATTTATAACTGATCAGGATCACTGTATAGGAATAATCTGTTTTCGATCACAAACCTTAAAAAAACAAATTCCCTGCTTATCTTACGGTGCAGCGTTGCCGACGTCGACACACCCTCAATGTACAGAATTTGAGGGGGAGAGAAGGGGTGAGTCAGACAGGGTTCCCCCCATTATTCATTTCTTAGAATCAAAACATGTGTGCTACTGCATCCACTAACCCAAAGCTATGGGGCCACAAGCACACGTGTGCTGCGCTAATGCACTCATGATCATCCCAGAACAGCACGGAGACACAGTGTACCGTTCAGTTAGAAAACAAGTTACCTCACTTCATGAAACGGGAGTTAAGAGGGTTGTAGATTCACCCTTCAGGGTGTGTTAAAAGGCCAGTGTTTCCACACAGAGCAGGCAGCCCATAATTGACTCAACCGTGTATTGTATTTTTTTGGCAAACCAAACTATACTTCTAATTGATCATAATTAGAAATGCATTTTGCGGTTTTACTGACTAACTGCCCTGTTGTGATCATCTTTACATTTAAATAGAGCTGCGGAGCAGGCAGAAGAAACCCAGAGTATTTGGTTACCGTCCAGCTGTGCTTCGTGGACGTGCGGCGGGCGCTCAGTGCTCGCCCAGGTGTGTGCGAGCGCTTACCTGCAGCCTGCGGGGACACCCGTCCAGTCAGAGCCCAGAGGGACAGCAGCAGCAGCAGCAGCAGCGGGGCTCGGTCCATCCTTCAAGCCGGGCCTCAGACGATATGAGGGAGGGACGAGCAGACACGGCATTTTAAGGAAGGGGGGACAAAGGGTGGGAGGGAGGAGAGAGTGGGGGGACGGGGGAGGTTAAGGGGGGGGGGGGGGATTAGAGCCAGGAGCACACATCTGGTTTGTATTGAGGAGGACAGAATTGGGAAAAATTCCAGTCTGAAGGACCTTTCACCCATTTCTGTTGGCTTATCAGATGAAGGGGGTGATGTGCGCACAGACTAACGATAAACAAACAGGGAATGCAAACAACAGAGGGAGTTGATGCTCTCCCACGCATCCTCGGGGCGACCTGCGTCTTCAACGCTCCACTGGATGCCGGTCTACGCTCTTATTTTGTAGTAGTACCCTAACATAATAGCATACTATATTAGATCATTTTTCCAGAATTTGTTTGATTTGATTGTAATTCCATATTTATTCTCATTAATATCTTCGCGGTTTACAGTTTTTGGGGGAATTTTACAGAACTGTTGGTAAAGGGGTAAAAATGAAACTCCAAAAAATGGTTTATAATTAGCACCACAAGTAGGAATGTTATCTTCAAGGGAGTAGCGTCGTATTCGTTGGTGCAAGAACGCACGTTTGGTCTGCTTTGTCTGTCAGAGGAATGAATACAATGTGAACCAACATCAAAACAAGTCTGGCGACATTTCACCACATATTGAAGTGTGTTTACCAGGCTGAAGTTGATAGATGAAGTATCGGCCCTCCTGAAATGTGCCCTGTGCTTCCGATCCCGTCGGCTAACACTTGGATTTCATTCAAGATGCAGCCACACGGGGCTTAAGAGAAGCTTTTAAAACCAGATTAAACAAAAAAGAGCCAAGCAGAAGTGAATGAGAACAATCTTTTATTGGTGTTTTTGGAAAAAATCTTGACTACATCCAAATAACCAGCACCAAGTTGGGCTGGACACAATGGACACCACAGATGCAGCAGGGCAGTTGTAGTTCAATAAGAGTCGCTAAAAGATTCACCAACCACATCTGTGAGGATATTAGACACTACGTCCTGTTGGGAGAGGAAACAATCACTGATTGAGGTGATAAAAGGCTGAAATAAACCAACAAGGAGCATATCGATAGTGTGCATAGTCCGTACACAGCCGGGGAACAGAAGAGGTCATCACCAAAGGTAAAGTAAGTCCGCATGAATATCATGTTCAAGTTATTGAGCCACGCTTTGGGAATCGGCGGTCAGAGAGACGCCGGTGGCAGTAGTGTCCGTAGTAGAAGTGAGTAACGTCTGGAGGTCCGAGCGGCAGACTGAGGGTTTCGTTTTCGAACAGTCTTTTCTGAGGAACAATGAAGATCGAAAAGTGTTTCCAGGTGCAACAGATCACGTTCACCCAAAGAAAGGAAATCATTCAATAGTATAGAACAGCAACAACAAGAGGGGTAATCATCATAATCATAACAGTAATAATACCAGTAAGGTAACTATTCATCATGGTCATAAAAGGGGTTAAAAGCACATTCTATCACTAGTCATCCTTCCTCAGGAACATAACATAGTGTACCATGCTCCATGTGTAGGTGTTGTGGATACACATAGAAATTCTTAGATACAGTAAAAAGTAAAGAGCGATAAAAGGAGTAAACCGTAAGGAAGGAGCAGTATTGAAAAAAGCCCTAAATAGCAACAAGTTTTGTGGATCAATATAGGAAGTTTTGGCTTTTATTTCTCCCAGAAATCTGAGAAAGTAACACCATTCCACTCAACGGGGGCAGTGAACCCATTTCCTGGAATACATCAAATACACAAAATAGTACAGGCCTATCCAATGTACAACAACATCTCTGCCCCCATAACAAAGCTCATCAACGTGTGTTCATAAAGGAGAGTAAAGTAACCATGTGCGTCCGGCCGGGAAGATCGAAGACTATTTTAGAACACAACACAATACTGAGATTGAGACAACAGGGGACGAAATGTCATGGGACAGAGTTTGCACACCACTGAAAGAAGGGGATCGGCCGCGAGGGGAGAGCAGTCGGATACACAGAAACGTCCCGGCGATTCGAAAGAGCGGATCAAGTCGGGTCACCCGGGGCGGGTTTTTCACCAGCTTAGGTGGGATACGACGGGACACCAGAGAGGATTTAAAGCCCTCAGCTGGGACAGATGGAAGGGGGATTGAGTCGACGATACGAGCGTGGACTCGTGACGGACAAACCAATCGCTCAACGCAAAGTTAAGCTCAAAGTACAGAGGAAAAATATTGTTGAGGAACTCAAGATGATGAGAGAGAGAAGGGATGAAGTGGTTGAACAGAGTGTACGAGTGTTTGCATGACGTGTCCTCTCGTCTCTCTCCAGCACGTTCGCGGTGACAGAAACAGGAAAAAGGGAAAGAAAAAAAATAATAAGTGCTTGAATATAAACCAACCAGAATGTTGAACTATGCGATTATAAGATAATTTTTTGCTCTGTATATTACAAATGTTACACGCGTCCTCGCCCCCGCTGCTGCATCCTGACCACAATGATCAAGTCGAAAAAATACCCATCGATGTCCGACCACCTGTTAAACGTCTCCTGACTCATCTATAATAAAAGATATTTACCATTGCTTTCCCCTGTCTCTATGTAGAAAATATACAAAATTATTCTCCAAATTTGCTCTCCCTCAAATATTTTTCTTAAGTATTATAAAAATATACAATTCTCCGATAACAAAACTCTTAAAAGTCACATCTTTTCATCTGTTAAATTATTCTCTCCATCTTTCACTTTTAAGAGTTGACACCTCAACAAAACAAGACACCTGAGCTTCAATATGCAAATCTTCCCCATGTCTTTTACATTCATCATCATCATAATCATCATCACCACCATCACCGTTTCCTCCATTCTGTCCATCGGGCCACACCAAGAATTCAGAGTCTTAAATTGAATCCAGCTTATGTTCTGATTCCGCTTCATCACTGGTCAGCGAGGCGGTTCTCGTATTTATTGAGGATGTTGCGACAGCGGCCCAGTTCCTTCCGGATCTCGGCCACTTCCTGACGCAGGGCGGCGTTTTCTCTCTCCAGGTAGGCGGCACGCACCGATATTTGGTTCTCCTTGAGGCGGCGAGCGTCTCGGGAACGCTTTGCCGCTTCATTGTTTTTATACCTCCTGGTCCAGTACTTCTCGTCCTAACAGAGGTCAGGAAAATAGAACACTTGGATCACTGACTTCACCTCACATGATCACACTGATCATTTCATTTCAAGTCATTTATTACATTACTTAATAATGTATACCTTGATATTATAATACAAGTTATTATTATTATTATTATTAAGTCATATTTTAATTTTAAAAAATGGTTGTAGCTTATCAAATGTGATGATTTGCTGCTTTGCTCTTTGCGATGGAATTAGAAGTTAAGTATTCGGGAGTTTAGGAGTGTTGGTTGGACAAAAAAGAGCATTTCCTCTACACTGACACTGAGGACCGATGCTGATCAGTGGGTTTTATTAATTATTTTATGTTATGCATGTATTAAATATTACTAATACATGCATTATACGTGCATAATATTATTTTAATAATAATAGAATATTTTGTCTTTTATTTTATTTTTATTCTTATTATAAATGCTTTGGGCTGTAGTTCTTGATAAAGGTGCACTAATAAATGTTATTATTCTGATAATAAATAAATTCATGATGTCTGCCCTCAAATGACCCATTTGTGGCTTTAAATGACTTGGTTCTCTCAAGGTGCACATGGACCAACGGCTCTGAATTCAGACCTCTCTCACCTTCAAGCCGTCGGGCACCAGGATCTTGCGGGCCTTCTTGATCATGGGCTGCGGCTTGAGTTCCTCTTCGCTGAAGGAGTGCCTCCTGGGGTCGTAGTTCTGCTGGCCGGACATGTCCATGTCTGAAGAATCCATGTCGTACATGCCGACCCCGTCCGGACCGCTGTCCGTGGGCGTGAGCAGAGGTGGGCAGGATGACGAGGAGGAAGAAGATGGAGACTCACAGGAGTCGTTCATACTGGTCTGACTCCCTGCGATCAAAGAGAAGAAGCACCTTGTGTTACACGCTTTCACATTGAAACACATCAAGTCAAACTTCAACAGAGCAGCTGATGGCAGCGGCCTGATAAGACAAAAGTCAAAATGCATGCAGCACTACACCATGATTACCACCAGGTGGAAGCAGAGAGCTTCTTTCTTCCTGGTACAAACAACAAACAACATTCCTTGGCCCTTAACTTATTCCATCGACGACGGTTTCATGAACTGAGATTTTCAGGGACACGTCTATTTACTCTGAACACACACGCAAAATCTAACACATCCTTTTTCAAGTTTACAAATAAAGAGATATAAAGGAGCTCAAAGTCGTGGTAGGCAGAGATGTTGTCAATGAAAGGCTGAAGCTACTCCAGTATGATTTTATCTCTACCGTAACTCTCTAATATACACAAGCACTGCACCCTGGGTTGGATCAAATATATACATATGGTTTATTGCACAGCAGCAAACGCGCAATACAATAAAAGCACAACCCAAATCGGTCATTGTGTGTATTACTACTAAAACTAAAGAGTAATCATGGCCTAGATGTTCCCGAGTCAAGTGTGAACCAGTGACCGACCCATAACCACAACCATGGGAATTACTTCATCTGGTGGTATTTCCTATTATTATTGATCTAAAAGTGGAAATGTGATGTAACTTTACACCCCTTCGCTGAGAACCAGTTTCTTTAAGAGAGGCCAGTATTGGGTGACAACCCCCCCCCCCCCCCCCGCCCCCCCCATCACCTCCCTTTCCCCTTTAAGGCCCAATGCCCCTCACTCCAACGTGATTTCCCTTCCAATAAGAGCCCATATCTTCCACAGACTGCTCATATAACTCACTGGGGCAAGTGTCAACCCAAAGAGTGATCTGATAAGTTGTTAATATGTTAACAAAACATCCCCTGTGGAGCGATTGAACCGGGCCAAAGGAACATAACATGACAAACACAGTCAGCATCGATATCTCCCTGCATCCCCACAGACCACAGTCTTCACGCAACCCGTGTGCCTTTAATCTTTAATAAAGTGTTAATATGTGGATAGAAACAGGAAGAAACACAACTATAAAAAGACAACCTGGTCGCCTATATTGATTGTATATGCTGTAGATCTGTAATATATATAATATATGAGCTGCTGCACATGACTCATGGCTGTATAATGCCCCAGTATTATCAAGGGCATATTTTCACACCCTGTGTTCCCTGATTATGTTCCACAACGACAGCAGAAAGGCACCGAGATGAAGTGGAGCATGTCCCAGAACAACATAATCAGCGGGTGTAAACAAACACTGAATCTTCAAGTGTGGATTCTGACTGTGACCAAGTGCCACGGAGGCCAGATTTCATGCACATGTTCCTCCGTGTGCGACTAAAGCGCGAGATCGTAATGATTTATCTGCACAAACCCCACAGCAGCGAGGAGTCGGTGCACCGCCTGCTGCGGCGGCGAAGGAATGAGGAGCTGCAAAGCCTCGGCCCTCCCTGTGGCACGCGGCTGCGTTCCAGAGCACAAAGTTGATTTGGCGCATTTCTGTCTCAATGTGTTGCCAGCTTGAGAGAACCGGAGACTTTGGCTTCCATAAAAACATTTCAGCACTTCCTGCTCCGCCTACGAAGCTGTGTGTTGGCGGCCTGTATTATTCCAATTCCAACACAACTTCAGCAAAGTCACATCAACCGCATAGTAATTCATTCAAGTTCTCCGCTTTCAATAAGTTACGCAAATGTTTATGCTCTATCTTTTCCTGTTGGAATCTCAGATGATTTAAAGATTTGAATATGAAGGGGTTGGTCATCCAAATGCACGGCACGTTATCATGCAACACAAAATGAGTTATTAGAGTCTACAAACATGCACTTTGTCACCTAAGTGTCCTGCGTCACCCTCCCGTGCGCGGCATAAAACTGTCCTCTGCATATCAGGGCCCTTAATGTCATTCATCTGCGCTCAAAGCGTCCGGCAGCAGCAGCGCGGGGGAACTCTTCCTGTCGCCTCTTCTCCACGTCCTCCCCCCTCCCTCCCTGCCTGCCTGCCTGCCTGCCTCCCTCCCTCCCTCCCTCCCCCCATCCCGTGGGCTCCTCCTCCGTGTCTGCTGGCCCTGCCTCTCGTTCCCTCGCTCCAGCCCTCGCTGGCCTCGGCACGTGTACCGCCGCGCACACATGGCTGTGGCGTGTGAAGTGGGGAGAGATTTAAAGACACGCAACCTGCAGAGACTCTGCGCTCGCTTGCTCTCCCTCCCTCTTTCCCTCCCTCCCTCTCTCCCTCCCTCCAACTCTCTCTCTCTCCCTCCCTCCAACTCTCTCTGTCTCTTAGTACTGTTTTGACCCCGCTGCACATTTATAATGGGCTTGGGCTGAATGCTGATTGTGTTGCACACTGCAGCACGTGGATCGCATGCCCAACTAAACCGAGCCTCCTTGAGAGTTTGACTCGTCAAGGGGCGAGACTTCTCTCCCTCTCTCTCTCTTCCCCCCCCACACCTCCCTCGCCCAGCTCCGAGCCCCCCCCCCCAGCCACGCTACCAAAACGTCCGACACGGTTGAGCGGCCATTTCTACACTCGCTGCGTTTCCTCTCAAATTGACTTTGCGTGTGGAGGCCACGTGACGTTATCTCCTTGCCTTCGGTTTGACCCCAGAGGTCATTAAAAAATGTGCTTCGTCATCCTCGTGTTGTGCTGTAAATGCTGAGCTAAAGTGCTGAATCACCAGCTATGGGGACATTTTAACCTTCGTCACATATCACCCGTTATTAATTGTAGGGTCTACTAGTCCCGTATCAGGGGACGATTTGTCTCTTTCAGCAACTCGACTCGGCAAAGTTTGCAAAACCAACTTCCATGATATTGGTGTTTTTGAGCTGATAACATTTTTTTTTTTTTTAAACAACCATTCCTCGGTCACTTTTGAACTCTCTAAGAACAAAGCGGTTGGTGTCAGTGAACTCACCATGCAAACAGTCATTTCCACCTCCGAGGCTCTGCGGCTGAGCCACCTCCAAACCAATGAGCGATGGGGAAGAAGAGGAAGAAGGCGATGAAGACGAAGAGCCGGGTGGAGATGAGGGCGGTAGGCACTGGGAGCTCTGGTTGGGCACGGCTGACTGGGAGCTCTGCGATGGGATCTGGGCTGAACTGGAGCTGTTGTTATTATGCACGTTGCCCATTCCGTTTTCGGTCAGAAACTCCTCCAAGTCCATGTACTGAAGCTGGAAGAGGCCCCCGTCTGCCGGCAGGGTGCGATCCCACAAGAGGGGCCCCAAGACTGTTGAACTTCTCTGCATTCGATCCACACACTCCCCCCGTGCTCTCTACACTCTCGTGCACTCTCATCTCCTCTCCTCTCCTGCACAGCCGTTACTGTTAGCACTGCTGCCTTATTGCACTGCCATTCCTCATGGGGCACACTCCCATGGAGTCCTCCTCAACGTCCAGCCTCTCTTTGTCTACCAGAGATAACAGAGCAGAATCAAAATAACAACAGATTGAAGATGATGAAGATCAACTTTCAGGACACATGAGAGTTCTTTCACAGAAAGGAGACATTTTAGTCAGTGAGACAGAGTCAACACATCCGGGGCGGCGAGATTGTTCATGAGATTCACTTTTTTGCAACATCTCCCCCTCGTTCCCGTGTCCCACACACAAGCGCACGCACACACACAGACTCGCACAGATGGACCAGATGGCGACTGAGTTGCCGCGTTAAGCAAGCGCCAAAACCAATTTGTTGTCATAGCGCGCGTACGTAAGCTCCCCAACAAATCTCACAATACTTGAAGGCACGGTTTGGGAAGTGCATGGATTGTAATCTGGATCCTAATTTGAAGTCGCAGCCGGAATTAGAGACCAGCTGAATGGCCGTCAGGGTCACGGACGAGTCATGGAGAAAGTGTGCGCGTCAGACTCTTGTAAAGACGTGAATATGACAAATGCAATGTTTGTTATATGTATGTATATAATGTTTCCTATTGGTATTCAAATAAATGCACCAGTGGGTGGAACAGAGGGGGATGATTTATTCATGCTCTGTCGCTGCACATATTGGAGACGAAGCGGGTCATGTGCTCCCTGCTGAACACTCAACACAAACAGCACCGTCACAGAGGGGGCCGTCCGCCAAGTGAAGAGCGTCTCACCTTTTGCATCACATGGTGTTTTTAAGCGTTGGTCTCCCTTTACGGGGTGCTGCAGGAGGGACTTGAGATCTCGCCATGGCAGTTGAGTTGCTCTCTCGTGAGGGAGCCTCGCAGGGCTGGGTACAGCTTTCCAAACTGTGGGCTGGTGCCGGCTGGCAGGTCGGGGTTCGGAAGCTGAGAGAGCTGCCTGGACATCCCGGTCCAGATGGGGGTCGGTAGAAAAGACAGGTCTCCCGCGGGGTGAGGGGGGTTACTTGAAGGGGAGTGGCGGACTGACCGGAGAGTCTACCAATAGGACGAGTATGCGGGATGGCTG